GAATTGCAGTAATCAAGCCTAGATGTAATGAATGCATGTATTACTGTCTCCAGGTTATTTTTGGACAATACGGGCTTCAGTTTAGACAGCCGCCTCAGTTGGAAGAAACATGATTTAGTTTCAGGGAAGGGTCCATTATCACGCCCAGATTAGTGACTCTGTTTTTCTGACAGGGTTAGAGCGGAGAGGTCGATGCAGTGGTTTGTGTTCGTGTCGTTGGGAGGGAACAACATGACTTCAGACTTCTTTTCATTGAAAGTTAAGAAATTTAAAGCCATCCAGTCCCATCTATTGTCACATCACATCTATTATGCGTCACTGCTGACATATCACGTTTGTTACACGTCGCGTTTGTTACACGTCGCGTTTGTTACACGTCGCGTTTGTTACACGTCGCGTTTGTTACACGTCACATTTGTTACAAGTCACCGCTGACAACCTGGAAATGTGAGTCGAATCTGGAAATGTGGGCCGGTGTTGTGCCAAAGACCGATTGGCTGCCAAATGGCGGCCACTGGAGTGTGCACGGGAGGACTTTAACAAGAATTTAACAACACTTAAAAATAATTATTTGTTTGCTCGAAATTATAGCAAAGGTGTGTCTCAGTTGAACTTTTTTTAAGTAAATGCACTATGACGGTCAAATCAGCTGTTTTTCAAAAGCCAATACGCGAAAACATGAATGTGCAGAGGGCCGAGTTGCTGCACATTTTTTCGAAATTTAACAAGATAACAACTACCTAAAAACAATTGTTTGTTTGCTCGAAATTATAGTAAAGGTGTGTCTCAGTTTAACTATTATTTAATAAATGCACTTCAGTGGTCAAATCAGCTACATTTCACTGGGGTGGAGCAGAGAAATGAAGCTGATTTGATGGTTGTTCCAGGCAGACGACGGTGTCGGGCTATGGCAAGCCGATATCCACTTTTACCTATTACATTTTACAACGGCATGCCATACTACTTGACTGCCATCTAGTGACTGAAAATGGTAATGTTCAATATTTTCAGTCAGAATGAATGAAACCAGTCATATCGCAGCCAAAAATTGGTTTATAAATATGGGGACAAATCCATAAATACGTCGCTTCAGTGTAAAAGTCACAGGGCATGTAAATTATGCAAAAAAACTTTGACTTATAGCGCGAAGAACACGGTAAGTGAATGTAACCACAGTCTGTGGTGCATTAAGGAGATAAATGTAGCTAAAACCATGTGTTTTCACATTAACTTAACTTTGAGTCACTGACTATAAAGCACTCATTTTCTTTCTTTTTTTAAATTGCAAAAGTAGGGAGTTATAATTATAAAGACAATTCTTGAACTGAATCACAGCAGAGCACTGTGTGAGATCTTTGCGATAATCAAACCTGGAAAAAGGGGGAAATTAGCGCTTCGATGAACGTGAGAAGGGAGAACGGCTGTTTTTACCAGAAACCGCTTCCCACTTTAAAGAAGGACATACCTCACTTTCAACAAACATGCCCAAGCAATATAAATCACACTGAAGATTGTGGAAAACCATCATTAA